GGGAGGATCACTGCTCGATATACGTGCAACTTTGTAGATAATTTCAGCTCCCTACAGCTGAAGACATGGGTACGGAGTCTGTCAATAGCTTGAGATGCACATCTGATCCGATGTTGAATCTCTTCATAGATGTCTGCAGTGGTGGACAAGTGGGAGCTGAGATATCGAAAGTGGGTAACATTAGAGAGCGTAGTACCGTTAAGCTGGATGGATGGTGGCAGTGTGGCTGAACCATGGGCAGGCTGAAAGAGAATCTGAGTCTTACATATATTCACCTCAAGGCCGAAGTGTGCATACGCATCTGCATAGGAGTTCAGGATCTCCTACAAGTCGCATTCAGTGTGAGCGACAGGGGTGAGGTCGTCTGCTTGCTGAAGTTCAGTAATGGAAGCTGCCGACATCTTTTTTCCTGCCTAGAGTCGTCTTATGTTGAAAAGACCCTTCATCTGATACTCGATGTCCATCTTGCTGGCTAAATTGGCACTGACACGAGTAAGGAAGGCAGCCAAGAAAACGGAAAAGAGAGATGGTGCCAGTACACACCCTTGTTTAATCCCCGTTTGGATGGGGAAGAACTTAGACTGGGCGCCATTGTGCAGGACACTGCCGTTCATACCATCGTGGTGTTTCCTCACAATGGTGATCAATTTTGATGGGCAGCCAAAACGGCCATGGTTTGGTCGATGAAGGCCATGTGCAGGTCATGACGCTGTTCCTGTATCTGGCGGGCAGCAAAGATCATGTGATGATCTAAAGCCACATTGAGATTCTATGAGTAAGTTTTCCGCCTCAGGAAGAATTCTTTTTAGGACTCGGGCACCCTTGTTCTCGTAAATATTGACGATGGAGGCGTCTTTAAGAGCTTGTGGGATTTCCTCTTTTCCCCATATATTCTTCAGGAGAGTGGAGACGGCTGGTAAGCAGAGGTCGTCCTGCTTAATACACTTCGGCTGGGATTCCATCAGGTCCTGAGGCTTTGTTATTTTTCATCTGTTTGATGGCAGTCCCTACCTCATCCAGGAATGGAGGATAGCTGAGGTGGGTCAGCTCTGGATGCTGAGGGACCTGCTGGGTAGTCAAGACATCCACATCGGTGTTTCGGTTGAGCAGTGAATGGTAATGGTAATGACTCTTTTCTATCTATATAAAACAAAGAAGTATGTCTGTTTGTGTGTGTGTCCGCACGAGAATCTCGGAAACTACTTTACCGATCTGTAGTGATGATGGAAGGTGTTATATGTAGTGATGATGGATGGTGTTATATGTAATGATGATGGATGATGTTATATGTAGTGATGATGGATGTTGTTATATGTAGTGATGATGGGTGGTGTTATATGTAGTGATGATGGATGGTGTTATATGTAGTGATAATGGATGGTGTTATATGTGGTGATGATGGATGATGTTATATGTAGTGATGATGGATGTTGTTATATGTAGTGAAGATTAGACAATAAAATAATAACATGGTGGAACTTACATTCACCGTTAATGAACTATTGATGGAAGAAGTTTTGGGGACTGATCAGTGAGACAATGTGGAGCATCCCGGAGAGTGGCGTTCTACCGTGGCCTAGCGAATGAGCAGCCCGGAGGGCAGCGTTTCTGCTAGTTTATGAATAAAAATCTATTGATCTATTTTGTTGACAGCTCTTATACAAGGTTCACTGCCTGGTTGCCTGTATCTGATAGTGTTAATAATCATAACTACGTAAAATAAACTGTCCAGGCTAAAGGTCCATAAGAGTTCCGGACCTGACATGGTGCATCCTAGAGTGGTAAGAGAGTTGTGCAACGAGCTTGCAGAGCCCCTGAAGATCCTGTTTTGTAAATGCCTGGATGAACAAATGGTCCCCAGTGAATGGAAAGTAGCTGATGTGAGTCCTATCTTCAAGAAGGGCGATCGTCACTCCACGAAAACTATAGACCGGTGAGCCTGACCAGCATAATATGTAAAGTACTTGAGAGTATTATCAGAGATGCCGCGATGGAACATCTACTACGAAACAACCTTGTAAAAGATTGCCAACACGGTTTTATGCCGGGGCGCTCTTGCTTAACACAATTGCTCAAGGTATTGGGTATTTGGACCCATATTCTGGAACGGGGTGGTAATATCGACAATATTTACCTAGATTTTGCCAAGGCTTTCGACAGTGTACCCCACGAAAGGCTGAAAATCAAACTGGAAGGGTACGGAATTCGGGGAAATGTCCTAGCGTGGATAGAAGACTTTCTACATAACCGCAAGCAGTGTGTGGTGATTAATGGCACGAAATCGCCATCTGTACCTGCAGCAAGTGGGGTACCACAGAGCAGTGTATTGGGCCCGCTGTTGTTTGTTTGTTTCATAAATGACATGCCTGACGTTGTACACTCCTCCATACAAATGTTTGCCGATGACGCCAAGTTATTTCGGGAAATTAAGAACCAAGCGGACTGTGAAGAGCTGCAGAAGGACCTCTGTGGGCTCAAGGAATGGTCGAAGAAATGGCTGCTGAGATTCAATGTTACGAAGTGTAAGAGGATGCACCTGGGGCGTACCAACGGTAAGGAGGCGTATCATATGTCCCAACGGGATGAAGAAACTGCACTAGTTGAGACTGCGTGTGAGAAGGCCCTAGGTGTGTATGTTGACAATGAGCTGAAGTTCTCGGGCCATTGTGAGAAGAAGGTAAATCAGGCAAATAAATTATTGGGTCTTATAAGAAGGTCGTTCAGATATCTAGACGGTCCGTCCCTCGTAACGATCTTCAGGAGTGAAGTGCTTCCCCATCTGGAGTACTGTCACCCCATCTGGTCCCCGAGATATGCTAGGGACTGTCAGTTCGTTGAAAATGTTTAAAGGAGGGCCACCAGACTGGTGCCTGCACTTCGGCACCTCAGCTACCCTGAGAGATTGGAGCGCCTGAACTTGCCTAGCTTATACTACAGACGGGCAAGGGGGAACCTAGTTGAGGTGTATAAGCATCTCAGGGGGCACTACTCAGTTGAGTGTCCTTACTTGGAGCTGGCGGACGCTCGCCCCACAAGGGGTCACAGCTCAAGATTGAAGAAGCCGCAAGTCCAGAAAACCGGGAGGGCAAACTTTTTCGGAGTGAGGGTTGTAAACTCTTGGAACAATCTACCAGAGAGTGTTGTGACGGCACCGAGTGTGAGCTCTTTCAAGACAAGACTTGACCAACACTGGAGCGGGTTCAGGTACATTCAGGAGCCGGTGCATGCCCAGTATTTGCCAACAGTGCGTGACAGAGACGTGACCGATCGCCCGGGCGGCTAGCGAGCCGATCTTTTGGTGAAGAATATAAATGAAAAGAGACGTGACCGATCGCCCAAGCGGCTAACAAGCCGATCAGTGGCGAAGAGGATATAAGTAAAAGTAAAAGTGAAACATGTCATTTTGTGTTTCATTGTTTAGCATTTTAATGTCAATCAAACCAATCTTACTTCACGTCTTTTCTGAATATCTTGATGATGATGATGAGTTATTAAGGTAGTCATATTTTAATGCATAGTTGAATGTTATGTTTCTTTTTGCTTTTGAATATTCTAATGGCAATAAATCATCTCATTCCTGACGAAGACCAAGTTGATCAACTCTCAGGTATGCACCACAAACTTCTTGCCTTTTAGACATTAAAATTTTCCGTCATGTAAATTTAACTGAGTAGGGTAGCTTGAGTGATGCACTATATTGTACATCTCTTCCTCGCAGCGGTGTGGCTGACGGAGAACAACCTCAACTCTCTGGGCTACAACAACTTCTCCAAGGAAGACCCGAGGAAGATAAGGTAACACATAACTTTCATCTTTTCCGTTTTCTCAATCGTCTGCTGAAATGCACTTGAACATGCAGCGTCTTCGAAATGAATATTGAAACCTGGTTCCTGGACGTTTCGACTCGGGCATTTCCCAGTGTAACCTAAATCAACTTTACCAAATTAACTAGTTCAGAACTAACATCCCACCATTATTCTACATAAATTACATTTAAATTTTTCATAAGCAAACAATATGGCACTTTAGGCACGATAGAACGAAGAAAATTTACCAATTCCAAGTTGTGGGTTTAGACTGGGTTTTGCAAATATCCGCAATTGCCACGCTGTTGATATTTAATATGCTCCTGATCACACATGGATATCTGAATATTAGGAAAATGTTTCGTGTTTGCATTGTTTCGGATATTCGAATATGATGTGCAGTCTACAGTGCGTATGTGGCAGGAAAAACAAAACTTTTGCGTATGTGTGACCTTGGCGAGCAGATACTAAGAGTTACTGGGTACCAGACTGCCAGTTCAAGAATGTTATACATCTCAGCGTTGGAGGCTTGTAACCTACTGTGATATGTAACGTCACGTGACTATCTTATCGTAACCTTGCTTTAACGTCCGGTGCAGAAATGTACTTACACTAGATTTCATATTCCAACACTACTTATTTCCACAACTGAGGTAAGGATGCATAGATAAGTAAAAATAAAATATTGCAATTTTGTAGCCATCTTACCCACTACCATGTCGTCATTTCTTAAGTGAAGGGGGTACGATGGCCGAGTGGATACAGCATCGTGGATACAGCATCGTCTCATGTTCTTAGGATTGGTAGTTCGCACCAGAGGCATCCACAGTTTACCCAGCTGTGAATGAGTACCTAACTGTGCTGTACATTCAAGCCAGTAATGAGTGCAGGCACAGCCACGCAGTCTCTTCGTGTATCACAAAATGACTTGGCCGACTGTGTCCTGTACCACTGCCAGCGTCAGGCCTTCAGGACCCACCTTTCCAGCGATAGTTACATTTTTAGATAACAATTTAAGGAACAATTATATATATATTTTTATATATATATATATATATATATATATATATATATATATATATATATATATATATATATATATATATATATATATATGTATATATTAGAATACATTATATACACCGCAGATAGACCAAGAGTAACTGCCACTCCCCCCCTCCCTGATAGGTTCCAAGAGAGGACAACACTGAGGGTGGCGGTGGAGCACTGGGAGCCCCACATCAGGGTGGAGAAAGTGGATGACCAGATACATATCTATGGGCCCATGGCCAACCTCCTCAGGGCCCTTGGTGATGCACTTAATTTCAAGTAAGTCAATAAAACAGGAAACAGAATACTTTCAAGGTGAGATTTTCTATTTCTTATAATATGGATTTGCACCCGTGACCTTCATGTATGCCACTGCCTACACAAATTCAATGTTTCAGTAACTAAAATCAAACCAGCGTTGAAATTTGTGTGATTTTAGCAGGATCAGACCATGAGTGACAAAGGCTGAAGTGTAGCAGCATCAAGCGGTTCTTTGATGAAAACCAAATTAATGAGAACTGTAAATTGCAATTTTAAATGGATGCAGATAAGTGGAAGGAGTATTCTAGCATTTATAACACTCGTAAGTTAACAAACAAGAGTAAACCAAAACTTGAACTCAACTCATTAACAAATTATTCATGAAGATAGAGCCCGACAAAAAAGTGGAAGAATTATAATACCACACAAGAAAAAAACATGCCAAGAAAGCCTCTAACAAAGAACAGTAGCCAGAATGTACAAATCATATGAGAACATATTCTAGTATTTTCACATACCATGGTTATATATTCATTGTCGGTCGGTTGTTAATTATTCCTCCCTAGCTGTAGATCACTGAGCATATGATGCCTCTGCTTTTCACTACACACTTATATCATAACGTTCATATTTTTTAACAGAACTTTGAACCTGTTTTATCCTCAATTTTAATGCATTTAGCAGAGTATTGTGGATAATAATGCGACCTTACCGAAGTTGGAGCCAATTATAATGAAAATTTTTATATTGTTCATAAATAATATTATAAAAAAATCACATTTATATTGCTTTTAATAGAATTTTTATATTATAAGTCAGTACATTACTGTACATAAAGACAAGTTGTTGTATACCCTACAGTTACACGCTGGTGAGGCCACCAGACGGTGCATGGGGCGCCCCTGACAGTAACGGGGTGTGGAATGGTATGATAGGCATGGTGAAGCGCAACGTAAGTATATCCCACCACCTCCCACACCTCTGCCACCTCCAATGTATACGCAAATGTATAATTATGTGTACGTGGCTGAACTCGTAAGCAGAGGAGGAGTCTTTGTTGTATCCTGTATTGGGTCCATTACTCTCGTCAGTAGGGTGATATGAGGTGGGATCGAACAGAAAAATGCACAGTATGGCTGTCCAGGAGATGGCGAGAGCTTTGTGAATGTGATGTGATATCCAGGAATGACCTGTCTGTGAGTGAAGGAGGTGGTCCCTTTTCTTTTTCTTTTTTTATGAACTAAGCTATTTACAAATTTTAATCTTTGTTACTCAAAATAATGCTAGGGGGTATATGAACCGGCTCCGATCCCTCCCTAAGTATGGTCCCCATCCTGACAAGATGCATTTTTATGTCGGTTTCAGGTGGTTAAATGTGTACCTGCAAATTGAGCCTCTTATCAAAGCTACGCAAATGATTACATTACCAAACCATGTAAATAGTTTGTAAATATATACAGTGTTTATGTCTTAAATACTTGCCCACTAAGTGTCATATCCCACCCCATACCACCCTGTATGTTTGCTCGAGAACTTGAGGTTCTATGTTACCACCAGGAAGCCGATCTCGCTATGGGTCCCTTCGGAATCACGGAAGCGCGGGCCAAGGTTGTCGAGTTCTCGCAGCCCATATTGATTGATTACTTCAGGATCCTGGTAAAACGAGGCTCCGCCAAGCCCAACCCATGGGGCTTCTTCAATCCCCTGGGACCCTTGGTGTGGGTGGGGCTCTTGCTGTCCCTCCTGCTGGTGTGTGTGGGACTCTGGTTATTCGTCTTCTTCGGCCCGGGGATGAGGGAGTGGAGCATCTCGAGCAAGATCACTTATGCCTTCAAGCAGACATGGGATCAGTTTGCCAACCTGTGTCAACAGAGTGAGTGTTTGCCGTGTTCCCTATGACAGAGTTTAAGTTTTCTTGCGGCTTGTTGACTCAATTTATCTTTTGAAAAACTCTTAGAGAAACACCTCGTGTTCTGTGGCTTTGGTACAGGGTATGGGTTTATATATATTGATTATTAATAATATTCTTTATCCATTAAGTCTCTTTCAGCTTAATTACACAAGTTATATCTGTAGTGTATAAAGACCTCTTATCTATTCTAAGTTCGTGAGTTTCGCTAGTGACCCATTAGTGATTATTTTAACAACTGAATGTGTTTCTCCTTACACTGTTTTAGCCTCTCTACAATCACAGAATATGAAACAATAATGGTGTGAAATTGTGAAAGGGGGACTAAGGATACATTATTTTCTTTTATCTTTACTTTAGCCATTTTGCCATTTATCTTCCTGTTAGCCTTTTGGGCAGTCAGCCACGTCTCTGTTACGCACTGTTGGAAAGCATTGGGTCTATAATGTATCTGTACCTGTGCCAGTGTTGGTCAAGTCTGGTCTTGAATAAGCTCAAACTCAGAGCCTTCACAATGCTCTCTGGCAGATTCTTCCAAGAATTCACATCTCTCACTCCTAAAAAGTTTGCCATGACAGTTTTCTGAACTTGTGGCTTCTTCAGCCTTAAGGTGTGACCCCTAGTGGGGCTGGCATCCACCAGCTCCAGGAATGAACACTCGACTGAGTAATGCCCTCTGAAGTGTTTATATTCTTCTATTAAGTCACCCCTTGCTCACCTACAGTATAGTATAAGCAAGGCAACTGCAGGCGTTCTACAGTAATCTCTATGGGTTCCTGAGGTGCCAGAGTACAGGCACCAGTCTGGTGGGCCGGCCTTCCTTTAGACATATTCAAACTGGTAATTATTGGTGACACACCCCTCGCCGATTTTTCATAGAAAATGAACTTAAAAATGCCGCAATTTCACTGTGTTTTGCAGTGGAGACTGTTGTAATTTGAGAAAATGTGTTAAAATGTGGTTATTTCTAAATTAAACCTAACCTAATGTTAGTCGATAAGGAACACAAGCGGCTGAAGCATTGCTAGCAGGCAGCACCAACCTAACCAAAGAAACCTATTTAACTTAACCTAACTTCTGGCCCCAGGACCCCCTGGCATATTAAATAGAACATATTTTGATATGGTGTAATTTCAATTTTTTGTGGGCGTGAGAGTCCGCTTGGACCGAGCGAACAAGATTGAGCATGGATCGGGCCGCCATACAATTTCAACATCGAGAAAGACGAAATAGCGCAAGCCTAGGGCCCAAATTATCTATTAAATGAAACATTTGCCCAAGAAATGAATGGCATATCCGAACTCAGCAGTAAAAATTTAGTTAGAAACGATCCATCAAAACAAAATGTGGCTATGGGTATGTCGTTCGCCTTCAATCTATTTTTTTTATTTTAGTCAGTGTATTCATGATGGTTTTCTCGTTGTAAACACATATACTTAAAAAACACATCTACTGGCCTATAAAATGTTCCATATTGTACAAGAACAGCACTTCAAGGAAAATAAACTAGTATGCTCTGCCATCAGCCATGGTGTACTCGCCGGACGAGATGCCGTTGAGGATGTTGGTGAGTGTGTGGCTGATGACGGTGCTGGTGATCATGAGGAGCTACTCTGGGGCCCTCACCTCACTCCTCGCCGTCAGGCAGATCCCCATCAAGATCAACACACTCAGAGATCTCATCCAGGCTAAGGAATACGGTGTCATCTTCGAGACGTCGACGGCCCTGACAGCATACATGGGTGTAGGTGATGTAATAATAATAGTAATATTTTATATGCAGGTAAATTTTAGCAAGAATAGCCGACAAATCTATGAGATATTTATTTCCAGTAGAGTCCTTCAGTAAATGCCAACAGCATCTGGTGTTCCCAGGAGGTCGTCCATCCATGTACTAACCAGACCCAACGTTGCTTACCTTCGCTCATCAAAAGAAACGGTGTTTTCAACTGGAATGGCAGTCTGATGTCTTTTGTGTCTATGATTATCGAGAGAGACAGGGGGCAGGGGCGGGGCAGGGGCAGGGCGGGGAAAGGGCAGGGGACAGGGACGGGGGAGGGCAGGGACAGGGAGGGACAGGGGCAGGGACAGGACGGGGACAGGGCAGGGACAGGGACGGGGACAGGGGACAGGGATGGGGACAGGGGACAGGCAGGGGACAGGGCAGGGGACAGGGACGGGGACAGGCAGGGACAGGGACGGGACAGGGCATGGACAGGGCAGGGACAGGGACGGGGAGCAGGGCAGGGACAGGGACGGGGACAGGGCAGGGGACAGGGACGGGGACAGGGCAGGGACAGGGACGGGGACATGGCAGGGGACAGGGACGGGGACAGGGCAGGGGACAGGGACGGGGACATGGCAGGGGACAGGGACGGGGACATGGCAGGGACACGGGACAGGGGCAGGGCAGGGGGCAGGGGACAGGGACGGGGGACAGGGCAGGGGACAGGGACGGGGACAGGCAGGGGACAGGACGGGGACATGGCAGGGACAGACGGGACAGGGCAGGGACAGGACGGGGACATGGCAGGGGACAGGGACGGGGACAGGGCAGGGACAGGGACGGGGACATGGCAGGGGACAGGGACGGGGACAGGGCAGGGACAGGGACGGGACAGGGCAGGGGACATGGACGGGGACAGGGACGGGGACAGGGACGGGGACATGGACGGGGACAGGGCAGGGGACAGGGACGGGGACATGGGTGCCTATAGAAGATTCGTAAGAAAATGAACAAGTGAGACTAAAACAAGATTCTTTGATAAATTTCTGTTAAACGTTTATCATATAGTCAGCCTTATTAAAGAAATTTCTCTCTAGGATATTAGGTCAAGATGTAGCAAGATTGGTTATTCAACAGAATATTTACGAGGATATCGGTGAAGTGAATCTTACTGAAATAAAAAAAATCGGTAATTATTGACGACTGACCCGCCGCCGATTTTTCATAGAAAACGAATTTAAAAATGTGGCACTTTCACTGTTTTACAGTAGACACTCATAGTTTTGGTAAATATGTTAAAAAATATACTTCTAAATTAAACCTAACCTAACCTTAGTTGATAAGAAAAACAAGCAGCAGAAGCATTGTTAGAAGACCTCACCAAAGAAACCTAACTAACCTTACCTAACTTCCAAGCCGTGAAGTTCCGCCCTCCGGACCCACGGTATATTATACAAAAAGAACTTACATATTTTATTTTATTCATTTATTTATTTTTACGGGGATTAGCCCACCCGGACACAGGTCACTGACCCACATCGGGGCCTGGGGGGCGAAAATGTAGTAATAATAATAATAATAATAATAATAATAATAATAATAATAATAATAATAATAATAATAATAATAATAATAATAATAATAATAATAATAATAATAATAATAATAATAATAATTGTCATAATAATTCATAATAAATAAAATTTATGATAAAACAAACAAAAATAAAATAATAAAATAATGATGATAATAATACAGTAACTGTAATAATAATAATAATTTTATTAATAGAGAACTATAAATACAAAAATGAAAAAAAGATCAAAAGTGAGAAACGATGTATGTATGTTGTGTTGTCAATGGCAAGAGAAACAATTGAGACCCTGCAATTGTGTGTAAATGAGGCAGAAAGTCAGATCAGCAACCTGGGACTTGGTCACAATTTTCGTGATGCCATATGGCAGCAGGGTCTACCATTAGACAGCACATTATGCTTCCAATATCTTCCCAGGCAGTAGTACCTCCCTGTTTGATAGCTGCCGACTACCTACTACCTACATATGGTGTAATTTTAAGTTTTATATGGGCGTGAGAGCAGCTGTCTAGTCCGTGTAGCTCATAAACAGACACTGGCGACTGGCATCGATCTGAGATGATTGGCTATGTACTACCACATTACCGCCAAGAAAGACAAAGTAGTGCACACCTAGTTATGTACCAAAGGAAGCAATTACCCCCCCCCCAATTATCGTTGGCGTGTTAGTCATCAATATTAACCAAACATTCTTGTCGGGAAGCAAAATCAGAATCTATTGACAAATGACCACCCAGGCTACCATAATATGATTATTAATGAATTCTGTTGTAAAAAAAAATATCCCTGGACACGACGTTAGTATACAGTATGATATTTTAGTTAAATGTCTACTAGAGAATTACGTTGGTGAGCTTTTACTGGTCACTCCCCCAGATGGCAGAATCGGGAGTGTTCGCGGAAATGGAAAAGGAGAACAAGAAGGGACGCTGTCAGTTCCTCAAAGCCAACGAACTCTTCGACGCTGCCTTCAATCTGGTCAGGTCCCAGGACTACGCCCTTCTCGTCGAGGAGTCCACCATTAGGAAGATTATGTCTGATGACTTCTCTGTCACAGGTATACTTGTTGATTAATTGGACTACATAATATCACCCAATTTGTGTCTTTAATGTCTTCAAAATATAATATTCAGAAATATACTTTAGCCCTCTCACGAAATAAATAAAACGAAATTAAGTTGTATTAACTGCTCGACACATTTCGGACTGGCGTGATAAAAAAAAATTAAGGAAAAGTGGGGTATAACCCATTGGTCCAGCTGTGAACGAGGCAGCGAAGCTGTAAACGAGACACGGGATGTTCCCATCCCGGGCTAAAGAAAATAATGGAAATGCAGTAATGAAAAACATGTTGACGTGACATTTGTACCATATAGCCAAATATTCACATTCGTTTTCTGGCAAACTTTTTTATTTAAACATACTAACTTTTATAAGAAATTAACTTAGAATTAATTTTACAGGTGAAATTAATATAAAGTGAGATTTCAGGTATGAATACATGTCACTTGTATCATTTAGTCATTAAGAGTACTGTAGTGAATTTCCTAACAAACAACCGTCTCCTTGGGTGTTGGCTGACATACATCAGTACAATATTGTCACAATCAAGAATTATCACTATAGATTTATAACATGTTTACTTTACTTTACTTTAACCGTTTTCGCCACTGATCGGCTTGTTAGTAGCTTGGAGGTCGGTCACGTCTCTGTTGCACACTGTTGGCAAGTACTGGGCATGAACTAGTTCCTGAATATATCGGCACCTGCTCCAGTGTTGGTCAAGTCTCGCCTTGAATGAGCTCACACTCGGTGCCGTCACAGCACTCTTTGGCAGATTGTTCCAAGAGTAAAAAATTGTCACACCGAAAAATTTTCACCACTGTTTTCTGGATTTGTGGCTTCTTCAACCTCGAGCTGTGACTCTTTGTGGGGAGGGCAGCTCCAGATATGTAGTCTCTTTCAAGATTCTTCGAACACTGCTGGAGACACCTGGCAACTCAAGGCCGTTTGTTTACTATAGTATGTATCAAAAATTATGAATGAATGTAAAAGGTTATCGATGATTGGTTACTTAGTTCCCTGTTGCTTAATTAATGGTTGGGCTTTGTTGTTTCGTATTATATTATACTATGTACTATAGTAAACAAACGGCCTTGAGTTGCCAGGTGTCTCCAGCAGTGTTCGAAGAATCTTGAACGAGACTACATTCGACCAAGTAGTGCCCTTCTGTAGTATAAGCTATGCAGTTGCAGGCGCTCTAATCTCTGAGTAGCTGAGGTTCCGCAGAACAGGCACCAGTTTGGTGGCACCCCTTTGGATATTTTCAATCAATTGACAGTCTCTAGCATATCTCGGAGACCAGACGGGGAAGCACCTCACTCTTGAAGATCGTGACGAGCGACGGACCATCCAGATATCTAACCGACCTTCTTATAACACCTACTAGCTTCGTTGCCTCATTCACCTGAAGTTCATTGTCGAAATACACACCCAGGTCCTTTTCACATTCGGTCTCAATTAATGCAGTTTCTTCGTCCTTTAGGGACATGTCATACGCCTCCTTACTGTTGGTGTGACCCACGTGCATCCTTTTGCACTTCGTGACATTGTTTCTTAGCAGCCATTTCCTCGACCATTCTTGAAGCTCAAGAGATTTTTCTGTAGCTCTTCACAGTCTGTTTAATTCTTAATTTCCATAAATAACTGGGCATCGTCCACAAACATTTGTATGGAGGAGAGTATAGCTTCTGGCATATCATTTATAGAGCAAACAAACAAAAACGGCCCCAATACACTGTCCTGTGGTACCCCGCTTGTCACAGGTACACATGACCAATTCGTACCATTAATCACTACTCACTGCTTGTGGTCGTGCAGAAATTCTCTGATCCACACTAAGACACTCCCTCGAATTCCCTACCCTTCCAATTTAATTTTCAGCCTTTCATGAAGGTACACTGTCCAAAACCTTGGCAAAATCTAAGTATATATTGTCGATATTTCCGCCTTGTTCTAGAATTCAAGTCAAAACACCCAAGACCTTCAGTAATTTTGTTAAGCAGGATCGTTCCGGCATAAAACAGTGTTGGCAGTCCTTTACATGGATGTTTCGTAGTATATGTTCCATCATGGCATCTCTTATGATGGTCGCTCTGCTGGTCAGGCTCACTGGTCTATATTTAGGCTGCGTTCACACCAAACGAGTCGAGTCGAGTCGCATCGAGTCTTGACTCTACGTAACTCGCCATTCAAGGGGACATTATTTTGCTTGTAATTTTGCAAAACCGTTTACACCAGGGGAGTCGAGTCGATTCATGAATATGGCCAGACCAATTTTTTCGTCAGTCATTGTGAATCCATTGTGGTGGAACCTCACCATGCAGCTGGAGGATTTGATAAATCTTGCTTGGGAGCGCTCCGTTCTCTATGTTCTCTGTTATTCTAAAGAAATTGTAGAATTGGTCTGGATGGTTCACCAAGTCTGGGAATAAATGAATAAAAGCACCAAAGTCTGGTCTTTTGGTGTTGAGTTCATGCAGCCATACTCGGTTCCTCTTCCTCCTACGCCGCTGAAACCACAACAGAGTATGTAAGGCTGCAAGAGAATGTGTGTCCATACCGCTTGACATCTGACAGGATACTGACAAACATGACTTCTGGACTTATTCTGTGTGAACGGAAATGAGTCAAATGACTCTGTTGACATGACGCGACTCGTTTGGTGTGAACGTAGCCTTAGGCTGCATTTACACCAAGCGAGTCGAGTCGATTCATTAGAGTCATTTGACTCGAGTCAAATTGACTCATTGCCGTTCACACCGAAAGAGTCGAAACGAGTCAGGTTTGTCAATAAATTGTCAGTACCCAGCCTGATTTCGAGCAGTATGGACACATTCTCTCGCTGAACTATATGCTCTATTGTGGGTTTGGCGTCATAGGAGGAGGAGGAGAACCTGATTGTGGATACACGAAATCCACACCAAAAGATCAGATTTTGGTGCCTTTAGTCATTTATTTCCAGACTTGGTGAACCATCCAGACAAATTCTACAATTTCTTTAGGATGACAACTGAAAACTTCAAGAAGTTGGTGGACATGGCAGGATCATCTGTCAAGAAAATGGACACAAACCACAACGGACGCGCGGCGACTGACGAAAAAATTGGGTCCAGCCGTATACATGACTCGACTCGATTCGATTCGACTCGGCTCGACTCGACTCTCCCGATGTGAACGGTTTCTAGAAAAATACATAAATTAATGCAAACTACAATGGCGAGTCAAGACGAGTCATGACTCGTCTTGACTTGACTCGCCTCGAATCGTTTGGTATAAATGCAGCCTTATTCGATGGAGTGACGATCGGCCTTCTTGAATATAAGACTCACATTAGCAATTTTCCAGTCATCGGGACCTTTTGTTTGTCCAGGCATTTGCAGAACAGGAACTTAAGGGGCTCAAAAAGCTCGTTACACTATTGGGTGTACCATATAAGGGCCGGGACTCTTGTGAATCTTTAGCTTTACAATTTAATTCTGATGCCATCTTCTGAGAACACCATGCGAGTCTTCACTGTGTCAAACCGTCTTTCCTCAAACGCAGGAAGATTGTTCGCATCCTTTCTTGTGATCATCGAGGAAAAGAAATTGTTCAACGCCTCCGACTTGTCCTGGTCAGAATCTGCATAACTACTATCTTCAAGCCTCAGGTCCGATGTGCCTACTCGCGTTTTTAATTTCGAATTTGCATATCGGTAAAAAGCCTTTGGGTTTGACTTCACCTTGCTTGCAATCAACCTCTGTAACTCTTTTCCAGCCCTTTTACACGCTGACTTTGCTTGGTTCCTAGATCTGGCATACGTCCTCCCGTCTGCTCATCATTTTTCCTAACCCACGTCTCGAAGTTCTGAGTTTTCTTCTTAACTTTGTCAACCGCCGCATGGTTCATGTGTAACGGTCTCCCTGTACCCCTTGTTATGGGACATACTTGTCTAGGTGTTATTATAATGTTTCACAACATGGAAACACAAGGGAAGATAAACAGGGAACGGGAATATTCATAATACACTAGAAACTGCTATAAAATATAAAACATATTTACACTATATACACAGAAAGGTGAAAACGAAAGTACATCAACTACAACTGAGAAACAACACCAGGGACAAAGGACAAGAACCTCTAATCTTACAATCAGCACATGGAATACCTGTTACCTATCACAATAAACATTATAATTATAATCCTAATCCATATATACAAAGTAAACTTAGCTGTGAGGTGACCACTCGGTACCACAAACACAAATCCCTCAGAGACACCGGGTACGTGTACACAACACAGGTCAGAGCCGGTCAGGACAGCAGCACGTCAGGAAGCCAGGGTGGGGAGTGATATTTTTTAATTTTTTTTTTTTTTTTTTTTAGATTTGTAGGAATATTACCTACGCGGACCTTAAGCTAAAATGCTGGTCCACCCCCTGTGGGGAGTGAGAACAGGTTCACAGCTACCAGTAGACCTACCAACTAACTTCACAGAGTTGCCAGGTTGTTTATTACTCACTACAAGGATGTAAACATTGACAAATAATACATAATGTACAATACAACAATATACTATTTCACCTACAACGATACATATCACAAACAAACATTATACAAACATAATATAACACTTGTAAGATGAAAAAGAATAAACATAATGAATAACTCGTTCCTTGAGCAAGCTGACTACCTAGTTCCCATCACATCCTGGATGCATTGGGTTTGGTCTTGGGTATATATATCTATCACTCAAATGGTTAATTTTACTGGCTATGATATTCAGCGGAGCATCTGCGTTCTTATATCGTAGTTAGTCAGGCCTGTGTATACTCCTCATCTCCTCCATCATCCCGTCGAAATTTCCTTTGTAATATTTGAACTTAGACCTGTTTTTGTCGTGAACTAAGTAACAGTTAAATCTGAATGACAACATTACACGGTGGCTGGTGCCAACTGCGGATAGATGTTCCAGTTGGTCACCGTACCCTCCTCGTTTGTTGAGATGAGGTCCAGTGGCTTGGGTGATAGCTCCTCTCTGTAATGCGTCGGGTTTTCAACATGTTGGAACATAAAATTATTTCTCAGAGTTTCTACGAAAAGAGTAGCAGGGTTATTAAGTCACTTGGCGAGAACTCATTTCTCCAGTCGATGTCGCCATAGATAAAGGCCCCCATGATAAGGACGTGGCTAGGGTTGAGCATCGCTGCGTTGTCTATTAAGCCTCTTAAGTTCCTTTGGTTTAGTGGGCCACAGTTTGGGGGTCTGTAGACACACCCGACAGTAAATAAGTCTCCTCCCTTTAATTTAATTTTACACTACTCGAACTCTTCAAATACATCCTCTCCCTGTACCCTCACCTGGCTGGCTCTAAGGTCTTGCCTAGCAAAGATAACCACACCTCTCTTGCAAATTTCTTGACAAAGGTTCGTAAATAACTCATATTCGTCAATACTGAACTCACATTCCTCTGACTCGATTCTCCTGTTCTTGTACAAAAGTTTTACAACTCCTACTATATCGGGTTGGTGTACCTTCAGTAGTGTTTGAAACTCCTCTCTCTTATCAAGGAACGTGTCAGTATTAGTGTACATGACATTCTCGGTAACGTCTCTGCTCTTGGTAGTAAACCCCCCACCCCATTCTTAGCAGCTGCTGCATTTGCTAAATACACTGTATTTTGCAGGGTGTGGTTAGAAATGTCATTGTTTACACACACACACACACACACACACACACACAAGAAACAAAATTGTGGCACCATTAATATAATATGTCTTGGTTACTTCCAGGCACTCATGCCTGTTGCTTTTCCCAATTTTGTTTTTCACTTAAGTTTATTTTCAGTCTCCACCGCAGTCACTGTTATCACTATGGACTGTCTTAGCTAAAGACACAGTGCTACACTCTCTGATCAGCCTTTGAACGGTCAATCACAGCCATGAACGCAACTCAATTAAAATTTTCTGAATAAATCTTGGCATATGGCAATGATTTTATGATTGTATACCTCACGGCCTACTGCTCCAGTCGAGTAGGGAGAATATTTCAATATATAATCGCGAATAACGTTAAAAATCCTTCATCGATTTACACATTCACATCACTAAGATCATCTTGATGCTCTTATGTAATCACTGTCCACTTGCCACCGCCCAACAACAACGAAGGCCAAAGTGCCAACAAGCTTTGTTACAGAGAAGCAACACGACGCGACCCGCACGACATACTCGTACATATCTGGAAGGCAATATCGAGAAAATTTACCTAGATTAATATTAAACAACTTAGTAGAGGGCACGCGTGCTGTGTATCATTAACGTTGAGGTCAACCATCCTAGAGGTTATAATCCTCTCTTTATGTTACATCAGTGCTAGTACTGTATTACATTTTCTAACCTTTTCTCAAACGTGGAAATTGTCCTTACAAGAAATTTTCAAATTTATTCGCCACAATTAATTTAATAAACAAATATAAAAAAACAATTAAATTTCTGCACTTAATAAAAATTATGTAGTGAAACGTGTGTGTGTGTGTGTGTGTGTGTGTGTGTGTGTGTGTGTGTGTGTGTGTGTGTGTTAAACCTAGCAATAATCAGTGACCAACTCATAACTCGTGAACCTCCCCAGAGAGATGCGACTTCTACATGGCCAAGCAGACGTACTTCCCTCTCATCTTCTGCATCATCGGTCGTAAAGGGATGTCTTTAATGCCTTCGATTAATTTCAGGTATGTAACTTTTGATTTATAATAATTAGTTCATCAGAAACAATTGCAGTAAAAAATAAATGAGCAGTTTGTCAGCAAAATTGTCCAGCCATTAGTAAGCCAACAAGAACATTTTGTGTAGCATTACAGTTTCTGTGTGTGTGTGTGTGTGTGTGTTTTGCAGGACACAATCTGATGTAACATATAACCTGTACAGGGAGTGTATGTGTTGCAGGATACAGTCCCTGGTAGAACACAACTTGTACAGTGAGTGTGTGTTGCAGGATACAATCTTATGCAACATAACTTGTACAGTGAGTGTGTGTGTTGCAGAACACAGTCCCTGGTGGAATACAACTTGTACAGTGAGTGTGTGTGTTGCAGGATACAGTCCCTGGTGGAACACAACTTGTACAGTGAGTGGATCGGGAAGGAGTTACAGAACGAGACAGCGTGTTTGAGAGCTCCCACCAGTATCACCGTCAACGAACCATACAACATGACGGGACTTTGGGTAAGTTGTTGATACTCATTGTGGTGGTGATTTAATACGTCTGGTATCGTTATATTAGGTTTAAAAGGAGACGACCCCACGAGATGTAGGTGACTATAAAAAGAAAAACACTGGCATTAATAGAGACAAAAATCAACACCAACTAGTGCTATAAAAACAAGAAATAAATATTTCTAATGTAACGAGAAGATTTGAGAATATGGAGAAATAAGATAATTATGTGGAGGGATTGTAAAGTGAGAAAGTTGGTAGCATAGTTCAGCTCTTCAACTATTATTCAAACAATTGTTGAAAGTAGAAATGCAGTTATAGATGTTGATACTTAAAGTATGAAAACAAGGTCATTTACTGTATATACAGTTCATTACAAGTACTAGAAAGTCTGGCCAATAAACATTAACTCACCGAAACACAATGACCATATGTAAAATTGACACCAAATATCATTTACTTCATTTAATCATTTGCCAAAGCACAAGCAACAAAGGGCACTGCCAACTATGCACTCTCTCTTACATAGTATTTCCGACACCATACTAATGACCGACACTGAGAGGTCTAGAATGGCTCTAGGCTTAGACTGCCTTTGGACCACCGCCAGTCGGCTTCCCCCTTGGACCACTGCCTGTTGGCTTCCCCTTTGGACCACTGGCTTTCGGCTTCCTCTTTGAGCCACTGCCCGTTGCGTTCCCCTTTGAGCTACTGCCCGTCGGCTTCCCTTTTGAGCCACTATCCGTCGGCTTCTCCCTTGGGCCACTGCCTTTCGGCTTCCCCTTTGAGCCATTGCTCGTCGGGTTCCCCTTTGAGCTACTGCCCATCGGCTTCCCCCTTGGACCACTGCCTGTCGGCTTTCCCATTGGGCCATTGCCCGTCGGCTTTCCCCTTGGGCCACTAACCGTCGGCTTCTCCCTTGGGCCACTTCCTTGACCGAATTCTTCTAATTATTCTTCGTTTCTTCATTTCATCTTCTTTTACTTCTTTTCTTCTTGGTTTTCATATTATAATTTTTTTATGGGAATAAAGGCTGGTGGGTGACTCACTGCACCTCCTTGCCCTTCACCTTCTTGGTGGAGGTCTTACAGTAGTCACCTTCTGGTACAATCTTATCATTTTGTACCCGCTGAGTCTCACTCTTTACGGTCTTCTTATATATTTGTGGTTTTGGTTCTTTGTTTCTTCTTTAATCTTGATTGAGGACACTGGTCCCTTCTTCCTTTGGGCAGAGTCGCCACCACCGGCCTGGACCACCACCACCTTCTTGTTTTTATGGTGTACCATTGTGGTGATGTGTAATAATGACATTAATAATATAATACTATAATATTATTAACAGTCCACTGAGGTAGATTCACAGATTTGCCTTGAAAAATATAGTCAAGATGAAATTTTGTACAGTTTAAATATAGGCCCACCACACCTTTGGTGTATGGTGCGGCGATGGTCTCCTGCCGCATCACTTAAAGCTCCTCCACGCCCCCGTCGTGGACCTACCCACCTGGGTCCAAGACAACCCCTGGGTGGAGATGTTCCCCCACAACCTGAACTAGTGCTGGGCATCAGTGTGGAGGATCCCTCTATTGAGAACAATAGCCGAGTTCCCCTGTGGCGTGATATAGTTAGCCTGCAAGAATGTAGAGCACAGGTGGACGCCCTCCTTCAGGCAGTGGAGAATGCCGAGTCGTTTCCAAGGACCATGCTCGTCATCCCGGTGGGGGTGGCAGTCATCGTAACACCTATGGCTGCCTATACCCATTAGGGTGTGTCATACGGAGGCGAATTTTTTTTTTGAGTTTGAAACATCGGCCCATGGTATTAATGATGTACTTCTATGTGCAGAATCATGTGATATCTTCAGATTTGAAAAGTTTTCATTTTTTGCTAGGTAAATTTTAACTTGAAATCTTATGAAAATTCAGTATTCCCACCCTTTTACCAACACCACTAAATAGCTTATTTAAAGTAAAGTAAATGTATTAGGTTAATTTATTAGGATGAAAATGATCCAGAATAGTGAAACGAATGATCTTGACACATTTATTAAATTTAATATTCCTTTAGAAAACAAAATCATCAAATACAAAAACCGGTTTTACTACTACGGCCCGGTGTTGCTGCACACCATAGAGAATGTTAGGTTCTGGATAATAAGTTCTATATACAGGAGCGAACACAAACACCTGTATAGTTTTGTAGGTTCGGTTTACTGGATCAGAGATATGTACACAAAGGGAAGTAGTGCTCTCCTCAGCTTGGCTGCCTGTCAACTGCTATAGACGACGTATGGCAAGTGATACATTAGCAGCTTCCATACGTCGCCAGGCACATTAATTAAGCATGTGGGATATCTTAAATACATTGCCACACACTGCTAGCTAGGCTGAATAAATAATACATAAATGGAGCACATACATAATATACATACACAATATATAATCCAGCATACATAATATACATACAGAGAACATGTCTTTCTTGCTTCTGTTTCTACTCATCACCTCCCTGCTGACCACCTGAGCTCGGATGTAGCCTTCCCTTCTCTCCTGGCTGTACACGTGACTGCTGGCCTCGCTCACTTGCTGTACACAACGCTCTATACTCTGGGTGTGCGAGGGCCAGGCAGGGACATGCATGGGGTTGTCCAGGAAAGCTCTGACTTGAACATTGGTGAGGCTGCAGGTAAGAGGGGCTCACTGCCAGCCTGGATGTTATCCAGATCTATGAGATCAGTGAGGGTCTTGGCACCTAGATTGACTTCAGGAGTCTTCCTGACCCTGAAGGAATCGTCACCAACTGATTCGTCATGCCCAGATCCTCATAAGTCTCATATCCAAGATCTTTTTGACTGCCACTCTTCTCTCCTCCTCATCCTTACTGCAGAGCATTGTCTGCAGAACTGCCTCGGGATGAGCATACCAGGAAGATCTCCTCACAGTCTGCTGCACAATCTGAACAACCTTCCTTGGCTGACTCCTCAGGAGCTCAAGCTGGAAGAGAACATGCCTCGGACCTTTGGAGAACGATGACTTGACCTTGGTGTTGAACCAATTTGGCAAGTAGACACTCACGATGAATTGGACAATAAGTCTCAGGTTGTGAAGCTGGTTCCCTTTCAGCTTGCTTATGATGAGCGACCCAAATTCTGCAGAACCTGAGAGCCATTGTGAGCCACCTAGAATGTGAGACTGGACCTATCTGCAGGTAAGCAAGTCTATCAGGCATGACCCCAGTTTTGATGGCACTGCAAATCATGTAACCATAAAACAATACTCAGGTCGTCAATGACAGTATGTGCAAGCTCCAACGAGTGGAGGGGCCAACTGTGATTTTTTCAAAGCTCGGATTTATTTCTAACTCAGTGGCAGAGTCCAGCATCTTGCCAAGAGGACCAGACCATCTGTTGTTTGAAAGAGTCTTGCCATCCAACTCCTGGATCAGATGTCTGAGTGGCAACTCGTTGGTGTGGAGGTCACAAACAATCCAGACCAGCTTCCTCCCAATCGTCCGCTCTATCCACTGTATGACCCCCCCTTGCCACCCTGTGTTCGTGTTGGTGCTGTCCCCTCCAATGGCCTGCAGGGTCTGGTCTACGTTCCTCTCTCTGAGCCAGTTCACAATGTTATCTGCCACTATCTCAGCTGGTTTCCTGATGTCATCTTTCTCTGGAGGAATGCCACAACATTTCCCAAGCTCACTGCAGTAGCAGGAGTAGTGTTCCTCCTTCACCATGGCAAGGAACAACTTGTCAGAATCTCCAACTTTCATGAACACTTTAGTGTCATCCCTTCTCCCATCAAAGAACAAACAATTGATTCCATTTTCTCTTATCCCCTTATCAAACTCCTCTTCTAGGTTACTGACAAGTTTCTCCTGAGCTCTCCTTACTTTGTTATGATCTATCACCAGGTGAACATCATCAGGTGTTATCAAACCACCGTCAATCTAGGCAGCTGTTGCTATCTCTGCAGTTTCTCTGAGACCAGTGTGGTGTCGCATGCTGGCCAGAGCTATGCTCGGGATATCTTTCCTACTTCGAATCTTTTTATGCCTGAAGAAGTCAGATCATTATTTTCTGGGTTAGGGACAAAGTCAACATTCTGGTCAGCACTCGGATCAGCCATGGGGAAGTCATTAAACCTGAATCAGCTTGATTCTAATCACTGCCTTTAATTCTCACCCTGGGCCTCTTGCCCCCTTTTCCTCGGCAACTCTTCCCTTCTGTCTCTGTGGCAGCCTCCCTGTCTCTTCTGACTCCGGAATATCTTGGCTAGAAACTCATGAGAGCCCCTTATACTGCCAGTCTTCTCTCTGTGCTTTAATGAAATGCCAGTTCGATCACAGCAGGAATCTTCAGTTCACGCTTGCAAATACAGGAGATAAATTGGATTTACAGTCACGATCGCATCCAAACCCAGGACAGAGAACAATTGGGCACTTGCAAGTAATTATGTCAAATAACTGGTCCAGTTGTTTCTGGCAAAAGCTGTCCTTAACTGCAAAGCTTTCTCTCCCAAGAGAGACATTCTTGCCTTTTTCCCAACTGGCTGTAGCAGCTCCTCACTAATCTTCTTCTGACTTGTTATGACTGGAGGCTTGAACTGAGCGTTAGCCAGAGGTACTCGTGCCAAGACAGCTTTGGTCATATCACTGGCAATGTCTTTGTTTGTGTAAGTTTTGGTTTCTTTTCACTGATTTGCCTGACGAAACACCGTATCTCAAAAAAGCATCTCTCTCGTAGGCAACTCCGACTTCAGGAGCTCTCTCCCAGACCCAAGATAGTGACTGAGATGGCTGATTTTTGGTTCCTCGTCCTGACACAAGCAGCCATCGCAAATATTATCAACTTATAAATGCATCAGAATCTGAAACAAAAAAATATTGTTAGTTGGGTTGTTAAAGAATGAAGCTCAGAAAGCAATGTTCACTTATTTAATTGTAATGTGCACTACTGTATGTTAGATTTTCGATAAATTTCACGCTAAAATTTACCTAGCAAAAGGTTGCAAAATATTGAACCAAATTATTTTCTGTTTATATACACTAAAATCTACCAAAAAAGTGATGGGCCATTAGTTTTAGCTGATCTTCCCTCCTATGACACACCCTAATACCCATGGTACATAGAAGCAAGGTGTATGTGAGTGGTAGACTACGCGACTCTCGTGTCAGTTAAAAATGTTAGGGGCATTAGTCTTCATTAATAATCTATTTGAAATACACAAAATAAACGTCAACCCCAGAGAAAAAATATAGAACCCGGAAAAACAACGTCTTTCCTCCTTCAGGGAAGACAAATGGTAACCAGAGCAAGACAGCAAACCAACTGTTAGATATATGACTTAGAAAGGGGCACAATTATTTAACAACATTAGTGGTGTTGGATATATAACTGTATAACTGTGAGTAATCATTTAGGGATGTATCCATTGAATATAATTTGGTTCATTATGTAACTAAGGTAAATATGGACACCACATACAATTATAGGCTAAAGTTGTTCAGTATATTTTCTAACATTACAAGATTTATGAATACAAAAAGAGGTGTAATTAGACGGCTAATATGAGTAATTCTGTCATTCTCCCCAGGGTGTATTTATGGTGCTGTTTATGGGTCTATTTGTGTCGTTCGTGACGTTCGTGGGTGAGCTGGTGGTTCACTTCCTCCACCAGAGAGAGACACTAACAATGGTGGGTCTTCCATCTACTGACACACGACTCCCTGCAGAACCCAAGCATACTAATCTGGGGGCTCTGGCACTCATCAAACAACTGTCGCACTCTGTAACCTTTAATACTTTCAAAGACCTTAGTTCCACTAGAGTATCGGAGACTGTTTCGGGTCCTTCAGCTTTCCGGGCCCCGGAACAATAGTATCTTTAGACTCCATCTTATGCTTGGGCCCTGCTTCCCTGCTTCATCCAACCCGGATCTGACTGTGAAATAGCTTACGCAATGATGTAGATTTTTTTTTTGGGGGGCGTTATCTTACTCTATAGATGGGAAATGATGGAAGTCGAGTGTAATTCCCGTCACACTGACTCATTGTGTACTGAAGGCCTAGTATTAACTATTTAGTGTGATGCATCCGCACTGCAGCCATTGCCCCTAATGAGCCGTCAGGGCTCGGGACCCACTTTCACTTTCTCAACTCATGGCCAAAGGTAGGGCCTGGTATTGATCATCAGCACATACCAGGGGACACTTGTATGTACTTGTGGTTCACAAGTATCACCAACACTGCTTTAACATACAGGAATACTTCAAGGCAATATTCTGAGTCCATTTATGTTTCTTTGTATTAGTAACATTAATATTCTGAGTCCATTTATGTTTCTTTGTATTAGTAACATTATGTATACAAGAATCTTAAAGCCAAATTCATTAGTAAAGGGAAAAAATCTCACATCCGGAATATACGAAACAATAAAAATTGAACTGGGAAAATTACAAGACGAGATTTCTTGACAAATTTATCCTTAATATGGTAGTACTATATTTGTTTTTAGCACCTCTTAGGGCCTAATACATCAAACCTGGTAAACCTAAAGATGAATCATGCGTAAACTCTAAGAAAAGAAACTAATATATAACAACTTAAGAAGATATGCAGGGTGTCCACACGCTGGTTTTATTATACGTGACGAACACCAAAAAATTGTTTCTTGTCATAGTAATCTTCCACACGTGTACTGTGCCTTATTATGTCTACTACATTTTTTTGATGATTAAGTTTTAAATTGGGCCAGATTATATATGGAAACCTTGTATATTAACTTTATATTCACGTCATCTTACAGTTTATCGGGCTTTCAAAAATAGAGCCTAATATAATTTCCTTTACGGTGATACTATTCCTCTTGAGAGAATAACCACACTCAAAATATTGTATTTGCTCATTGTAAGTATGAGTAGTAGTGAGGAGTCGGAGTCTGTATGACCTTACGCTCGTTTCCTTTACTTACTCATAATGCACTGTACACAAACCCTGATTTTATGATTTAGTTGGAAAAAGGTTAAATCGACTTAATTGACACCAAATGGGGAAGACCAAAATGGTAATTCTCAGGTCTGCTTTAGGGAATTCCACTTTGCATTTATATTAAGGATTAATATCTGAAATAATAAAGGTGGTTGAAACGACTAGAAGGTTTAGACATCCTGAACGGTTTAAAGCAAGATTCGTGAACTCATTTCTTGTATATTACTGTACACGACTTCCGCCAAATTTCCTTCTGACATTTTGCCGGATTGAAGCGCTGTGTAACGCCCCGCCATTTGCTATTGTCAAATTTAGGTTACAACTTTCAGCAAAATATTATAATGTTATGAATTGCTTTGTCTATTACCACTATTTCACAGTTGGTATGATGTCTTGGTGCAGGATCTTTCCCATCGTTAAATAGAAATCATAACGTAGATTCATAATTTTTTTTTAAATTTAGATGTAATTGGCATTTATGTAAATTCCATTTTTTTACCTTAAATAAGAATGACTTTGTAAGTTTTATATTTTCCATTGATATCCAATTTCAGAATGTTCTTAAACCTTAAGGTTCAAATATATTTTCCTTAAATTCTTAACCTAAGAGTTTTGAACAGTAAACCAAATTTCTTTGACTGGTTTTTGTTGGCAGCAACAAAGACGGATTTGTTGAAAAAGGTAAAACAATGTAAGATTCCAAAAGAGATCAGATACAGTAGGTAGTAGGCAGCTATCAAACAGGGAGGTACTACCGCCTGGGAAGATATTGGAAGCATAATGTGTTGTCTAATGGTAGACCCTGCTGCCATATGGCATCACGAAAATTGTGACCAAGTTCCAGGTTGCTGATCTGTCTTTCTGCCTCATTTACACACAATTGCAGGGTCTCAAATCTCAATTGTTTCTCTTACTTGGACAATACAATATTTTATATATATATATATATATATATATATATATATATATATATATATATATATATATATATATATATATATATATATATATATATATATATATATATATATATATATATATATATACAGTATTTATATATATATACAGTATATATACAGTATATATATATATATATACAGTATATCGTTTCTCACTATTAGCCCGGGTGGGCTAATCCTCGTAAAAAAAAGTAAGTTCTGGAAACCCTAAAACTTTGACAATAAACATGATATATAATTTGTATATGAACATACTATATTTAATGATATATGCCTTATCATTATTGAGTAACTTTTTACAAAATTCACTGTTATATTGTATGTAGTCATTAATGTTTACCTTGAAAACTACCAGCTTAAATGTCTTTGCTGTACTTTTAAAAATTTAGACTGGTTAAGTTTGCCGGAAGCACAATATGTTCAAGTGAGTTAATATATTAAGCCAGTATTTCTAATTTTAAAGTAAAGAAAACGAAAAGTAAAAATGCTGTACAAGGAGTGGAACAAATTATACCGTTGTGTTACGGTCACTTCATATACGAGGAGACGCTTGCACTGTCAGCATTGCGTGTTGAGTACTGCATCTCTCACTTCCTCGAAATTTCTACCCCTTGTCAAATACCTAATTGTAGGGACACAGAGGGCCACTTACAATGAACTTCTAATATTAAATTCTATTTTCATATATGTCAGCCCTTAGCATTTACTGAAACATGGAGCATGTAGAATAATATTAGCATTAATGATATTATTAAAACTCGTAACCATAAAACTGTACTGAAGACAAGCCGACAATTGTAGTTTTCACAAAAATAACATGTTACAAATGTTTATATTGTCTATTTTTCTAGTTAAGATTCTATTCATTTACAGATAGAAGAACTGCAGGCAAACAGCAACAAAATTCGCCACTTCCACAAAACAGTACTGATGAAACACCGATGAGGAGTTTTTAGATTAAAGCACAAGATCAAGTAGTAAATATAATCTCACTGAAGAAGTTCTCACAACTTTCCTAGCTTTTCCAGATTTGATTACTCAGCTTGTTAGTCAGGAGATTTTCCCCTACTCTGATTTAGAAACTTGAAAAGGAATGCCACGAATGCGTAAGCGAGACGAATGATCCACCGCAGTTATCTACAGTGAGAAAGACTGCACTGAAGATCTTAATAAAGAAACAACAATTATTTAATATAACAAAATTTCAAAGGAAAACGTTTTAAGAAAAAATATCCCGTACAAATATAACTTTAACGTAATAAAATCCAAGACAGTTAAATGCATAATTAATGAAGATTGATGTAGTAGGAGCAAAAATTGCAATTAGCCTCAGACAGAACAGACACGGGATATCAAACACACTAAACACTGTAAGACAAATCTAGGATCCTAGATAACAAGACAAAGCTTCTAGACACCTAATTAAGACATAATATACGGAAGGCCAGATTATTAGAGACAAGGAGCCTAGATAACAAAAAAATACACTGCAACTTTGACTTCCTATTCAGACTGAACCTCCACATAGCGTTTAGCTTCATTTCTAATACTGCACTTGTTGAACACTAGTACTCACGACAAAGATACAAAGATAAGACAGACAGTAGCTTTGGGGAAACAGTCCTGAGAAGACCACTAAGAAAAACATTTGAAACTTCCCGTTCAGTAGCTAAAACAACTATCTGTGCAGGAGGGGGTCGATATGCACCGAAATTTTACGTGTGACTAGTGACAACCCTCATATACCAAAATTTATCGTCCATGGTCTCATAATATTTCCCACAAAGTATGCACAGATAGTTGTTTTAGCTACTGTACATCACGGGGTATACTGTACTCGTATATATAATATTATGTTCACGGTATAACAAGGATTTCTGGGTAATTTCACAGCAGTGACGATTTGATTGACTAGAGTCAGTCCCCGTTGACATTCTGTCTGCCCATTGGTGCAAGAATACTGTAACTAGCAAACCACAACCAAACAACCTTTCACGGTCGATACAGTTCAATTCAATTTCAATTGTTTACTCCTTGATAGAGGAAGCGGGATCCTAGTGTTGTCACTAGATACCCCTGTACAATAACACCAGAAGCATCTGGTAAGTGTGACAAGTATATACAGTATAAATATTATAAAGGGGCTTACTAAAGCCTAAGGAAGGAAGGATATTCCTTTAACACATAATCGATGTTATTTACATAATATCTGGCTAGTATGGGGAGGATCATCGTGTCTCCGTCAGGGGGTCGTGGAGTGGTGGTCCAGCAGGCGTCACGGAAGTGTTGTGTGTGGGGACATCTTAGGAAGTAGTGGATAAGGGTGCGGCTGTCGGATCTTCTGCATAATGCACAAGAGCGTTGCTCAGGGGATGCGGGGATACCAATCTCCCAAGCAAAGTCATACCCAATGATGATACGGGCAGCAATCACGTCCCCTTTCCGCGACCCTTTCCCGTAGACATACGAGAGGTCAGGAAGTTTACGGAGGACATCGTACCAGGTGGGCGGGGAGTCCAGGGGGATGGCTGCTTCCCGAGCTTCTCTCTGTTTGCGGCGAATTTGGGTCTTAAGCAGTAAAAGTGTTTGAGGAACAACGTAGTCAGGTGTGGTCTTGTTGCAGCCAGTCTTGGCAAGGCCATCTGCTGCCTCATTCCCCAAGATACCGACATGACTGGGTATCCATAGGAATGTCAAAGGACGGCCTGCATCCTGAAGTGTGGATGTTAACCCTCGTATTCGGAGGATGAGGTCCTTATTTCCCCCTGATCCAAATGCGATCCCGTCGAGAGCAGACCTGGAATCGCAGCAGACAAGCAAGGGGGATAAACCATCTGCTTCTTCCTCAGCGAGAAGGGCAACAAGGAGGGCTATTAGTTCAGCCTGAGTGGAGGATGCCCCGTCAGAAATTCTGAGAGACGTAGAGATGTAGACACCAGCCCCGGCCCGACCTGTAGCGGGGTCAACAGAACCATCAGTGTAGAGGACGACCCTACCTGGGGACCAGTGGGCGATCCTGGAGAGGTGGTATTTGCAGAGAATAACAGGGTTCACCTGGGATTTCGGGAGCGGTCCACCGAGGGCAATCACTTCAGGTTGAAAATCCAGCCAGGGAGAAGGAGACGAACCAACAGCAGGGGTGACAACAATATCAGGCAGGAGGTCGTGTTCCTGAAGGGCTCGGATGAGTGACCCTCGCCACTGTCTTCTAGATGGAGGTCGGCCTCGGACAGCAGGAGTCAAGTTGGCTTGGACATAGTTGCCCCGAGGATCCCGTAGAATGGAAACGGCAGTTTTTAGGTAAAACTCCTGGACACGATCCTGTAAGGGGGAAAGACCAAGTTCGGTATATAGAGAAGTAGAGCGTGTCCACTGAGGAGCCCCATTAAGAAACTGTGACAGATGTGATCCATTAAGGGTACATGGCGTGGGATGATCCGGAGTAAGAGTGGGATGGCGGGCATTAAAATCGCCAAGAACAATAGTGGGAATCCCATCATGGAGGTCGTGAAGAACCTGGGGGTCCAGAGAATCACTGTTGAAATGAACATTGACTACACGAAGGGTCCGGTCACCAAGAATACAGTAAGGGAGACAGAAAGTAATTCAGACGGGGGTCCATGTGAGTCAGGTGAAGGGAGACGAGCAGATGGAATGGTGTTACGCACAAGGGTGAGGAGGCCACGAGCCTGCCCACGGTACCGAGGCAGGGTGTAAACAGAATAGCCAGAGAGGCGGAGTGGAGCAACATCGTCTGTGATGGTTTCCTGAAGTAGAGCAACATCTACTTGATGGGAGAGCACAAACTGGGCGAGGTCTGTCCGGCGAGGTCTAAATCCCTGGATGTTCCATGTAAGAAGAGGAGGGAACGGCCTCCGGTGTGAGATGAGTCGGAGGGGCTAGACAGGGCTCCAGAGGAGGTACCAAATTCTGTTGAGAAAAATGGAGAGGGAGGAGTGGGAGAGTGAGGGAGGGATCCTCCATCTCGGGAGATGGAAGGAGGCGGGTCACCAGGGCTTGCAAAGTGCGCCCCTGCTGGGTCAGGGTGTCCAGAATGAGTTGTTGTTGCCTCTGCAATGTCGCAATTGTTTTCACAAACAAGTCGAGTTGGGCAGAGAGATGGTTGATTTGCTTGAAGTGGCAATCCAGACGGAGAGTGATTGTTTCCATAGAACCAACTTAGTGTACCTGTACAGGAGCTGGAGGTGGCGGCGAGGATTGCCGAGGGCCCGACTGGGCAGGTGGTGGTGGTAGCGACGGAGAGGGACGGTGAGGGTTCAGGTGAGTAAGGTGGTGGTGCTGGTGAGAGACAGCGAGGGTCCGGGTGGGCAGGAGATGGTGGTGACTGTGTAGCAGGGCCGGCAACGACCTTGTTCCAAGAACGGTAGGGAGAGGGAGGGAGGGGAGAAAGGATGGGTGGTAGGGGTGATAGGGGGGATGGTAGAGGAGAGGAGATCAATGGGAAATCCTTGGTGGATGGAAGAGGCGGTGGTGGATAGGAATGAGGTTTGGTTGACAGGGGCTTCGTCAGAGACGAGGGCGGTGGTACAAGGTAAGTTTTCCCCGGGCGAGTGCCAGGACGCTGTGGGCAATTGGCATTCCAGGCGTGGTGACTGCCATGGCAATTAACACACCATGGAATAGCTGGGATTTTGTTCTGAATTTTCGATTTGCATTCCACTATGTCGTGAGGTTCTGCACAGAAACCGCAGGCGACCATCTTCGTGCACTCCCAGGTGCGGTGTTTCCAGGATTGGCAACGACCACAGATTTTCGGGGTTCCGATAAATCGGTCGAGAGGACAGTTGTGAATTGGTCCCACATTCACCTTCGGGGGGAGGGGGCCCACCCACCAGCCGATGAGTTCGTTGGATGGACGTTTGGAGACCGGGTTGATGCGGCGTTCCATGTCCAGTAGTTGTGGGAGAAGAGGGCGAAGATCGTCGATAGGGATCTCCCAGGGTACGTGGCGAACCATTACCTTGGTACGACGAGTTTCTGGGGTGATGATGGTGAACTTTAGCATCACCTCCCCCTGAGGAGCAGGAAAGCCCGCCTGAGTGAGCAGGCGTACCGTCTCGTCCATTTGTATGGTGACTATCACGGCTGTGGGACCTCGGCGGAGGCGAAGTGTTGAGTCCTGAAGTGGAGAGCAGTGACGGAAGAACCAGGTCGTCCGTGTGCTCAGAGGCAAGTCCCGAGGGAAGGCGAGACGACGAAGGCGCGACGGGGCAGGGAGACAAAGGGAATCCCCTATGTCCATCGTCGACGGAGGGTCGGTCATTGAGCCACATGTAAGCTCACTTGGGGATCCCGATGACAGGAGGAGTCCACCCTCTACAGCCCCAGACGGGGTGCGAGGGAGAGCCGTGGCCCCTGCTGGAGACCCTGACTTCTGAGGTTTCTGCTTCTTCTTTGACTGTCTTCAAGAAGAAAATCGTCAGCATCACTGTCACCTACTGCCGCCGTTTCCAACGAAAGGGAGCGTTTAACGGCGGGCATAGGGCACGTTGGCAACACTGCAGTCAGGTGGAGTGGTAATGACGTCACTGCTACGTCACACTATCACATTGCGCATGCGCAAACTTGAAAAACTTTGCGCAGAGGGATCGGGTGGTAGGACCAGATGTTTTATCCCAAAAAAATGACAAAGTCCAAAAGTAAAAAAAAAAAAAATATATGCCACTGTGCTGATAACTGGGTCTTACTATAGTTGTCTGCACAGGCTGGGATTAGTAGACTCGCTGAATTCGTCAGAAATACGACTTTTAAGGAGCAGTCTCTTACAGCCTTTGTTGACACTACGCACGCATGCGCGTTCCTCGATATAGTTGTGTACCAGCAGTTCACGGCAGAGGAGAAGCAGCTGTCTGACGTATAAAATTGGAGTCTAGCACACAAATATAAAACATTGACGGGAGTCACACGCTAGACGTTGAAGGTCATTAACCTATTGAGTGGCAGGGGTTTCTCTCGGCTGAATAAAATAGTCTGGCGTTAGCCCGAATAAAATAGCTATGCGACATTACTCGTCAAAGGGTTAAACCAAAATCAGACACTGAAAATAAGAATATATGTTGCATTTGTTTGTTTCACCACTTATCAGCCTATTAGATCGGGCGGTTGGTCTGTTTATTGTTGCTGCTTGAACTGAACAAAAGCTAGTGACAGTATACTGCCAGACTGGGGTCACTAATTCTAAGGGGGAGTACTTAACTCTAATCTTAATTTCTAAGGGTCGCTGCCACCAGACCCCCTCTGGACAGTATGTAACTCGTTAGGTAGCGTGCAGAGTGGACTAGGCATTGGGTTGGGTTTTTCATTGACCAGATCGATAAGGGGAAAGAAGGGTGAAACCATAACATGTCTTAGGCATTAATTTATTCCTTATAAAGCATACTGGTAAAAAACATACAAATGAATTGGCCTTCCTCAGAAGAACAACGAAAATGTTGGTTACCCAGATGGGCACCAGACGTCTCACATTAATGGCGTGTCATCCACATACTTATTGCATAACAATCTGTGACCTCCTTACCTCGGTCATTCCTTCTTACACTATCCCTTAACACATCAGACTGCTCCACCTGTATGGAATATAGCACCGTCGGTTATCATACATAGTAGCACCATTTCAACACACACGTTACACTCCACACCTGCAGGTATGGGACTCCTTATAACTTTTAGGTATACACAACAGGCACCTCGTTCGCACACCG